TTTTTTTTTTTTTTTTTTGAAACTCCCCAGACGAGGAGCCAACCATGGTGGAAGAAACCAACTCTGAAGAAGAATTTGTCAATTGAATCCTGACCCCTTTTTATTATTAGCATGATCTTAAGTTATTGGGAATGTTATTATGATATTAAGACTAAGTATTATCTATTCTCATTTGGTACTTATTTTATTTGAGACTATTCCGCTGCCAGTTTGTAATTTTTATTATTCAGACCATGTTGTATGACTTGTATTCCAACTATCAGACTTATTATCACCGGACTAAGTTTGAATTGTTAATTTTTATTCTTCTTGTTATTTATTGCTTTTTACTGCTTGGCGTTGCGTCCCCGTCCTAACCGGTGTGGGGGATGTGACAGAGTGGTATCAGAGCTCGATTGTAAGAAGGACACTTACATCGAGCTAACCCAGGATAGGATTCTTGACTTTATCGGGTTACAATTTTAAGCTTCTATTATTATAAATCGCATTATTGTCACTTTTCATGTTTGTCTAAGTACTTTAATCATATCCATTTTACATGAGTTTTAGTTATATATATATATATATATGACGTCTTCCACCTTTGTCTGATGCGTTTGACGATAGTATTATTATAGGTATGGACCCAATCTCTACTCTTCTGTTCTATTTGTCGTATGAGAGGAGTCGTATAGAAGTTCTAGAAGAGGAGCTACAGCTATGGATGGACGATTGGGAGAACGAGCACCAGGCGCTAGTCACGCAGGTGAAGCACGTTCACGATTTGGAGCAGCAGCTTACGGAAGCTCAACAAATCGTAGGGATGCACTCCTCTTATTTCCAGGAATTGTTTAATCAGCTTGAGGGTAGCAAAGTGATGATTCAACAAATGGAGGAACAACTGAATCAGATGGAGCAGGAGCTAGTTGACAAGGAATGTCAGATGGTGGGACTAGATACTAAAGTGAAGAATTTGGAGCACGAGCTCCAATTGAAGGATGATGCAATGGCTATGATGGAAGCAGAAAATCAAAGGCTTCGTCAACTAATCTCCTTAGGAGGACAGCGTATTAGCATTCTTGAATGTCAACTTGCCGCAGAGAGACTCGCCTCTCAGTAGCCTACTGCTTCGGTTGATGGACCGCGGCCTACACAACCGCGTCATGTGATCACAATAGACAGTTCGGAGGAGGACCCCGAGGAGGACCCGGAGGAGAAGGAACCCGAAAGAGGACCCAGAGGAGGAGGACATGATGGATTCGGATGACGACTGACCACCCAAGAATTGTTTTGTTGTTCGGATTCTTATTTTATTAATTGCTTGATGATCGCCCCATGGACGATGTTGTTTGATTGACTCATGTTTTGAATGGTAGTATTATTGATAGATCCATGGACAGGGTAATTTTCAAGTGTTTCCCTGTCCATGTTGATGTTAATTTCCTTGAAAAATGTCTATGTTATGTTTTGATTATATGTGAATTCTAATAGTTATCATAAAATGATATCAATGCACCTACTTGTAGTGATTACTCATTGGACATTAGAACTTAATTAATACTTATTGTTAAATAATTGAACTTATCAGAGATGGCTGAACATCGACGTGGACGACCTCGCCTTTATCAAAATGATAATGCAGCCCCACAACATGGGAACGCTAACCCACAACCGCCGGCTCAACCTCCTACTGGAGACAATTTGACAGCTCAAGCCATCACTCAACTCATGAATTTTCTCCAACAACATATGGCATCAAACCCCAACGCACCTGAATCCCATGATCGGGCGTTGGAAAGATTCTTGCGTTTCAACCCCCCAACCTTTCTCGGTGAACCTGATGATGCCAAGGCAGAGTATTGGCTTAAACGAATTGACAGTATCTTTGCAACGTTGCAATACACTGAGGCACAACGTTTGTCCCTAGCTACATTTCGTCTGGAATCTGCCGCGCACGATTGGTGGAAGAATGTGTCTGAGAAGTGGACACGAGAAAATAAGAACAGGACTTGGGAGAATTTCATGAGAGAATTCAAAACCCAATACATCTCACAAGCTGCAAGAGAAGCTAGAAGGGATGAGTTTTACCATCTGAAGCAAGGATCACTAACTGTAGCACAATACGAGTCCCAGTTTAATCGGTTATCCAAATATGCGCCAGGACTGGTTAGCACTGAAGAAGATAAGTTGTATAAATTCACGAGAGGCTTGAGGCATTCCTTGCAGCAGAGTCTTCTTACAGTAAGGATGAACACCTATGCTGAAGCTGTCGAGGCTGCCACCCGAATTGAGAGTGGGATGGCACGTCTACAACAAGTCCAAAATAACAGAGGTGGGAATTTTAAGAGGCCAGCACCAGGACCGTACTCTAAAACCCCTCAAAAATTTCAGAAGCCTAATGAATCAAAAAATACCCCCACTGGAAAGAAACCCTCCGTCAAGAATCTGCCCCCACACTGTTCTCACTGCTCCAAGGTTGGGCATACTCCCAATGACTGCTGGCGGAAGTTGGGGAAATGTCTGAGATGTGGAAGCTCTCAACATCAAATTAAGGATTGTCCAAAGAGCGGGGCTCCGACCGATAATCGAACTGCACCAAAAAAGCATGGAAACAACCGTGCTAGGGTTCCAGCACGTGTGTTTGCTCTGGCAGGACAGGAAGCTCCAGAAGCAACTGATGTGGTGGAAGGTACATTTCTCGTATCTAACCACTTTGCACGCGCATTGATAGACCCAGAATCATCTCATTCATTTGTTGCTCCTCGATTTGCACAAAAACTGAATGTGCCTATTGATTACTTATCGAGTTGTTTCGAAGTATCAACTCCTATGGGTGCAAGCAGGTTAACTGATGTGGTCTATAACGCATGTAATGTGATAATTGGAAATAGTTGCTTTCCTGCTAATTTGATTTCCTTGCAAATACTTGAGTATGACGTGACACTGGGTATGGATTGGCTATCTAAACACTATGCTCAGTTAGACTGTCATTCTAAGATAGTTAGATTCTGTGTGCCTGATAAGCCTGTGGTTGAGCTTTTAGGCAAAGCTAGGGTTAACTTAGCTCCATGGATATCCGCTATGAGGGCTAGGATAGCAATTTTAAAAGGTGCAGAGGGGTACTTAGCTTTCATTATCAACAAACCCAAAAGTAAGTCAGGGATTGAACCAGTACCCATTATATCTGAATATGCCGACGTGTTCCCTAATGAACTTGCCTCCTTACCACCAAACAGAGAGATTGAGTTTCATATAGAGATTTTACCTGGAAAATCCCCAGTGGCAAGGACACCATACCGCATGGCCCCATTGGAACTACAAGAACTAAAGGATCAATTGCAAAAACTATTAGAAGTCGGTTTCATTCGTCCTAGTGTGTCACCATGGGGAGCGCCAGTGTTGTTCATGAAGAAGAAGGATGGAACCTTGAGGTTGTGCATTGACTACCGAGAACTTAATAGCATTACCGTGAAAAATAAGTATCCACTTCCAAGAATAGATGATCTGTTTGATCAACTACATGGAGCAACGGTGTACTCAAAGTTCGACCTTCAACAAGGGTACTACCAACTGAGGATAAAAGGCGAAGACATACCTAAAACTGCTTTTCAAACCCGATATGGTCACTATGAGTTTGTAGTGATGCCTTTTGGTTTAACTAATGCGCCAGCAACATTTATGGATTTGATGCATCGTGTCTTTCAACCCTTCCTTGATAAGTTTGTCGTAATTTTTATTGACGACATCCTTGTTTATTCTAAATCTGATAAGAAGCACGAGATACATTTAAGACTCGTTGTCGAGACTTTGCGAAAGCACAAGCTATATGCAAAGTTCAGCAAGTGCGAATTCTGGCTTAGAGAAGTGGCATTCTTGGGACACATTGTCTCGGGAGAAGGCATTGCAGTCGATCCAGCAAAAGTGCAGACAATATTGGACTGGAAGAGACCAGAAACTGTCACGTAGATTAGAAGTTTTCTTGGACTTGCGGGGTATTATCGCAAATTCATTAAAGACTTTCCAAAAATAGCTGGAGCACTCTCGCGACTAACGCAAAAACAGGTCAAATTTGAGTGGAACGACAAATGTGAATCGAGTTTCCAAGAACTTAAAAGAAGGCTTACGACAACACCTATTCTAGCTCTTCCAGAAGGAATGAAAAACTTTTTGATTTACAGTGATGCATCCAAGGAAGGCCTAGGAGCAGTGTTGATGCAAAATGGCAAAGTAATTGCTTCTGTCTCTAGGAAACTTAAATCACATGAGATAAATTACCCGACTCACGATCTGGAACTTGCGGCCATAGTTTTCGCATTGAAGAAGTGGCGACACTACTTGTATGGAGCTACATTTACCGTCTTCACTGACCATAAGAGTCTTAAATATTTGTTCTCTCAAAAAGAGTTGAACCTAAGACAAAGAAGATGGATTGAACTTTTACAGGACTATCACTTTTCCATACAACATCACCCTGGCAAAGCCAATGTAGTTGCCGATGCGCTAAGCAGAAAGGCAAATATGGCCAGACTCATGGGCAGAGAATGGGAGGCCTTGGAAGAAGTAATCCAATGGAAACCACATTGTCGTGATACTTACATATTGTGTGCTAACCTCTCGTTTAAGTCTAACTTGCTTAGCGAGATCAGAGAAGCACAAAAGAAGGATCTAAAACTTCAAGGCTTGAAGGAGAAAGTAACTTCTGGAGAGAGAACAGAGTTCAACATATCTGAAGATGGATTGTTGAAATTCAAAAATCGGACATGTGTGCCAAATGACGAAAAGTTGAAGGATAGAATCCTTGCAGAGGCACACCGCTCGAGGTACACTATTCACCCAGGAGGAAATAAAATGTATAAAGACTTGAAGAAATACTTTTGGTGGGTGAATATGAAAAACCAGATTGCCGAGTATGTAGCCAAGTGTTTGACTTGTCAACGAGTAAAAGCTGAGCATCAGCGACCATCAGGGTTACTACAACCCTTAGAGATTCTTAAATGGAAATGGGAGATGATAACAATGGACTTTGTGATGGACCTACCAAAAACCCGAGAAGGATACAATACAGTATGGGTTATAGTGGATAGACTCACGAAGTCAGCCCATTTCTTACCAGTGAAAAAGACACACAACTTGCAGAAGTTGGCCAGAACTTACATTCGGGAGATAGTCCGACTCCACGGAGTACCCATAGATATAGTCTCTGATCGTGATCCGAGATTTGTCTCGTGATTTTGGAAAAGCTTGCACTTAGAAATGGGAACATCTTTGAGTTTTTGTACAGCAGCTCATCCACAAACCGACGGGAAATCAGAAAGAATAATCCAAACTCTGGAAGATATGCTTCGAGCCTGCACGCTAGACTTCCAAGAGAACTGGGACCATCATCTGCCATTGGCTGAGTTCGCTTATAACAATAGCTACCAAGCCACCATTGGCATGGCACCATATGAGGCTCTCTATGGTAGGAAATGTAGATCACCACTTCATTGGGAAATTGACGATCAGTGGGTACCAAAAACTAAGAAAGGTCAAACCTTTGTACCAAAAGTTGACTTAGTCCAAGAAGCAGTGGACAAAGTTCATCTAATTAAGGAAAGGATCCGTACTGCACAAAGTCGTCAGAAAAGCTATGCCGACAAGAGAAGAAAAGATTTAGAGTTCGATTGTGGGGATGAAGTGTTCCTTAAGGTATCCCCAAGGAGGGGGATAATAAAATCCAAGAAAGGTGGGAAACTTAGTCCACGGTATGTTGGCCCATTCAAGATCCTTAAGAGAATCGGCCAGCTAGCCTACCGCCCAGACTTAACGAGTAATCTTGCTGGTATGCATGATGTATTTAACGTCTCAAGATTGAAGAAGTATAGTCCTGATCCAGAACACATTATTACAAGAGACATCCCACCTATCATGGATAACTTGACGTACTTAGAAAAACCACTGCGCATTATTGATCGTCAAGTCCGGGTATTAAGGAAGAAATAAATTCCACTGGTCAAGGTGGTTTGTCAAAACCACAATCGAGACGAAGACGCCACCTGGGAGCCGGAGAAGGAAATGAAGGAACAATACCCAGAGTTATTTGGGAAGAATTTGGGGACCAAATTTCTATAAGGAGGGGAGAATGTGATACCCCACAGGTACACTATTATCTGAATTATGCTAATTATATGATTTATTAGTAACAATTAATAATTCCTTGAGTGATTATTATTTTTATTTTTATTCTTTTACTATTAGATAATAACAATAAAATGAAGTACATATCTCTTTTTTTCCTATATTATTAAAATCGGTGTACAAACTTCTAGAGTGTTTTACTAACCATCAATATTATAAATACTTGATAATTTTCTTATGCACTTCCTAGATATCTATTTGATTTTTAATAATGTATAGAACCTTACATATTATTCTCTTGGTCAAATGAATAATATAGTTGTCTTGGATAGATGTATCTATAATCCTCCATCTAAATATCTACAGACTTATGAATATGTAAGGTGCTTAATATTTTTTTGATTGGTATTATATATATATATATATGTGTGTGTGTGTGTGTGTATATTATTGGATAGCTGGTTGAGATATATACATATTTGCGTATTAACTTAGTATAGATGCTTTAGGGTACGAATTATATATTAATAAGTCAGTAAGGTTGTTTAAGGGGTTTGCATATATATGTGATAGATATATTTCATCTCATATCAATATCAATAATAATAATAATAATAATAATAATAATAATAATAATAATAATAATAATAATAATAATAATAATAATAATAATAATAATAATAATAATAATAACAGTAATAATAAAAGGGGGAGATCAGAAGCCGACCAAATGCCCAATCAAAATCACGGATTTCAGAATATCACACTTCCCCATTCACGGATGCGTCCCTTACACTCCTCAAACTCCTACGTCCCAATAGAAACCCCTGTTTTCAGATTAATCGTTGCTTTTTGCGTGTACCTTCACGTTGCAGGACATCTTTCTACAAAATCTACACTCAATCTATCTGACCTAATCATTTTATATACAATTTACACCCAACCTATTCTACTTACCATTTTATACACCGTTCAACAATGACAACTTTTCCACCTCAACTCAACTTTCACTCTGCAAATATTTCAAGAAGTAGTTGTCCGTTGTAGTAGTCTTGGGAGATCATTTGGAGGAGCCTCTGGGAGCAAATTAGAGGCACACATCATCCTAAGCCCAAATACTAAGAAGATAAGAGGTGGGTGATTAAATCTTGAAATAAATAAACGAAAGTGTTATCTCAAAAATACTGATGCATGTATATATTATATATTGTTGGTTGTTGAAAATACTGTTGAGATTATGTTTATATTTTTTTTTGTGAATACGCGTACTCAAAAATACTGATTCATGTATATATTATATATTGTTGGTTGTTGAAAATACTGTTGGGATTATGTATATATTTTTTTCTTCTTTCGTGAATATGCGTACATGTGTATATTTATATATTGTTTGTTGCACTGTAATCATGTGTATACATTTATTTCCTCTGTGATGTGTATTAATACCTTTATGGAGTTTTATCTACACAACGTATATTAAAATTTTATCTGTTATTAAAATTTAATCTGTTTTATTGTATTAAACTCCTCATCTGCTTATATATGAATTTTATCCGGTATTCATATTTATCTGTTTCACGGTATTAAACTTTTTATCTGGTATATGAAAATTCTTATCTGATATTATTTTATCGCATTAAGAATTTTTCTGCTTTGTATACGTGTTGTTATTTTATCTGTTATGTATTGTTTATGATAATCTGTGATAATACTGATCGATCTATTCTTCTAATTCCTCCCTGATGCGTAACATATATCTGTGTAACTTCATATCTTAATAATTTATCCATATGCAGTAATTAATTATAACAAACGATTAAAATAGATCTTGGTATTATTTATATAATTATTGTATAAAAAAAAAAGAAAAAAAACAAACAAACTTAGAATATAAGTAATAAATTTAAAAAGTTTTGACTTATAATTTTTTTTTTACTAGACCATCCAAACACGTCCTCGATTTGGAAGTCATTTAAGTATCATTAAGGATAACAGTCAGAATTTATTTATTAAATTAAAAATTATGAATGTGATATTTTGAGATTAAAATTAAGTGAGAATGTGGATTTTATGATAATAATAATAATAATGGGTGTTTAGAATTTTTTTTATTGATTGGGAAATTCGAATAACAGGTGTGTCCACCCACGCCTCCCTCTAACACCAACTCTTCAGGCCGCATAAGTAGATTTCTAGAAAATATTATTCCCCCTATACACCGAG